ACAATCCGGATGGTCGGAGAATAATGGGAAGAAACATACCAAAACGTATAACGTATTGACAATCCGGATGGTCGGAGAATAATGGGAAGAAACATACCAAAACGTATAACGTATTGACAATCCGGATGGTCGGAGAATAATGGGAAGAAACATACCAAAACATATAACGCATTGACAATCCGGATGGTCGGCGAATAATGGGAAGAAACATACCAAAACGTATAACGTATTGACAATCGGATGGTCGGAGAATAATGGGAAGAAATATACCAAAACGTATAACGTATTGACAATCGGATGGTCGGAGGCTAATGGGACGAAATATACCGAAAACGTGAGATCATTTGTAGCATTACGATAACGGACAGGGAGAAGAATTTCAATTTTAATTTCATGATACGGTATTTAAAAAAAAATAACAACAAAAAAACGACATAATAAAAAACGCAAATTGGGTTATTGTTAATAGTAGCGTTCAGAGTTTGATCCAGGATTTGAGGTTAGGGGCACCCGTATAATATTTTTATAATGTAATTTTTTAGTGGGGAGAAAGTCCGCTGTGGTCCAGTTTAATCCGACCCTAACATTTGAACCTTAATTTAAATCGAAGAAATCGATACAGCTGTTTAGTGACTTATTCTAGTACTCCGTAAAACACTGAATATTATTTCTGCAGTCCTGAGTTTACCAGCATGTGTAATTATTTTTTGTCAGTACAAATTAGTGCTGTCATTTGTGTGATTTTATACCTTATGACTTTTGGTGAAAATAATTAATATCAAGTTTTCCATCATATGTGGTCTTGTTCAAACAATACATTGTCTGAAACCTTGAAACGTATAGTGCTTCTATGAAATTCATTTTATTGGTAATCAAACACACTTCTTGGAGATTCCATGACAGTTAAAGGTAGTTTCCATTCCACATCTCGAAAATTAATTTGAAATAGAATCAATCTGTCCAAGTTAAAGTCATTAGCGATCGAGATAAACAGATCTTGGATATCCCGAATTCAATTATAGTCATCTTTAATGCAATTTGTTCTCTTATTAAATTTTCTTTTCATAGCGGTTTTGCTACCCATAACGCATTAGCTGTCATGAAATACACTAGTTTAATGGCGTGAATTAGAACATAATGACAATTATTTTAATGAGAATCAGCTTTATTACGATGGCTTGAAAAAAATTGCAAAGGCTTGCTTTTGTCAAAAAACCTTTAGATAGGTTAAGGCTGACCTTTGTGGAGAAGTTGAAAGTGTGTTTGTATATATGTGTAAAATTAAAACGGCAGTAGTTTACCTATGTTACAATATCGTAAATTGATTAGGAAAAGACAACTCATGGTAATAAACAGAAGCTGAGGGAATCGCATCAACTCCGAAAGCAGCGAGACCGGGTCCGTCGACAGAAATTTAGGTGAAATTATAACAAAAAGTGAATCTGAAACTAATCAGATGTTGATATTTTTTTACAGATGCAATTAAAATTACTGTCGTAAATGCTTAAGACATAAAAAGTTGCCAAAACTATTGTAACAATGATAGCTATTATATATATGTAGGTATAATTATTGTAAAAAAATATGATAGCTAGGGTATGTTCTTTTGTTATTCAAGATATATGAAAAGGATGGGTACAGCCTACATAAAAATAAGAAAATGTGGTATTGTTTACTGCTTTGTACATAAATCAGACCGTTGTTTTCTCCTTTAAATTTGTTATGTCTGGGCCTTTTATAGCTTACTTTACGGTATGAGTTCTCCTCATTGTTGAAGGCTGTACGTTGACCTTTAGTTGCTTACATCTACGTCATTTGGTCTCTGATGGATAGTTGACTCAATTACAATCATACTACATCTTATGATTTTTATATTAATGCGGCCCCAATAAAAGCTATGGCATTGTTTACTGCAATTCGGCCAAAATTGTTCCATTTGATGTTTATTTCAATGTCGTTTAATTTGAAAATGCATACATCTGTCAGGTGGTGACAAGCGCTGTTGGTTATAGGTTCTAGGCTAAACCCTCACGGATACTTGTATATGTACATGTAGTTAAAACTGAAAGATACGGTATTTAAATTAAGGCGAGGATGACATTTATTATAGCCGTTTAATAGTAATAAATGGTTCGACATTTTAAATTCTGTTGCCTTTGATATTTGTTCAAATCAAATGTCAACTTGTTGATAAGATATACTGTTACAACTTTTACTCTCATGTGTAAAAGTTTAAAATTCTGTCTTTTTATATACTGTAAATGTCACTGTTTGCCTTTTTCTTTTATCCTCTTTTAATGGTAGAAAACAGAAACATTGATGAAATATAATAGATGTTATGCAATTATTGTTTTTACGAATATGTAATGAATTATAAAACGAAAAGTGTAACGAATGGTGCAGATGTCCTCAATTGCTTTTTTTTTAAATTTTCAACTCCAGTGATGTTTTGATCCTTTAGAGTACTATACACAGACAAAATCTGTTCACGTGAATTTCACATGAAATTCACATGTAAATTTTCACGTGAGATTCACCTCAAACGAGCAAAAAAAAAATGACTCACGTGAAAATTTTCATGTGAATTCCACATGAATTGAGATTCACCTGAATCTCACATGAAATTTTTCACATGAATTTCACATGAACATTAAAAAAAAAATTGGTATTTTTCATGGTTTTGATTTAATTTGAAAATTCAGTTGTTATTTGAATAACGTTATTTTAAAAATTCACGTGAATTTCACGTGAAAAAAATCATGTGATTTTTACGTGAAATTCACGTGACTTTTACATGAAATTCACGTGAAACTCACATGAACTAATTTCATGTGAGTTTCATGTATAAGCTCGTTTGAGGTAAAATTCATGCTAGTTTCACGTGAGATTCACATGAATTTATTCACGTGAAATTGATGTGAGTGAAATTTCCCTGTGTAGTCTTAAAATCTTCCACTGTCAGCACTTTAGAAATTTCGAAAGATTTCATATACAGTATTCTTATTCATAAGAAATTTCTTTTAGTGAATTATTGCGTCAACCTAAGCCCTACACTCTGTAACCCAACTTTATATTTTATCATAATATAATCCCGCTCGTCAAGTGTGTAATTGACTTTTGTTTATCCACCTTTTTCTGTAATTTCAATATTCAATTCTACAATTTAAAGGCGCTAAAATGATGGTGGATTTGCAAAAATACATATATAAACCAAATGCAACACGTTTTTATCTTTTTCAATTTAAAAGACTATCAGTTCATCGTAATAATAAACACATCAAACGTTTTCATCTTATTACATACTATGGGATTATTACGTGTGATTTGACTTGCAGATGATGTTGTACGATATTCTTACATATTATCAACGATGTTACATTGATCTTTGTGATTAGAACACAAAAGAAAAGATGCACTATGAATTTATTTAAATGTTAACATCTGCGACAGCTGGAGACGTAATATACCTTTCTAAGATTATAAAAATTATATTTGTTGCTTCTGAGATATGATTAAATCTATGTAGGTTCTCGGGATTGTTATTAAAAGGTAACACGAAGTTGTACAATGATTTCAAGAAATGTGTCTTTGATCTAGTTGAAGAAATAACTTCCTGTTTTAGGATGTTTTCCAGTAAAGTCATTTGCTTTTTCTTGATATTATATGTCGTTTTGATATTCCGATCGGGGCTAACGGTGTTTCTCATATCTCAAAGTTGCGACTTCCTTGTTATTTATAAATTGCAGTTTAAACTTCATCAAGACCGTACAGAACATCATTTGTTTTGATGTATGTTTGTAGATGACATATTATGTTTCAACAATTCGATTTTCCGAATAAATCAATAAAACAAATCAATCCAAATGTTTTCTTACTTTATAAAAAGTAAAAAATAATTGTTTTCCGATTTTGGATCCTGATATTGGAGTTCGTCACTGAATTCGTTCTACCAAAATTAATGACAAATGGGCAAATTGTATCCTTTCTATTCCTACCTGTACCTCCCTTGAATGTGGTATTTAGTTAAATCTTGTGATAATATTTTGTTAAAAAATTATCAGACTGGAACATCGGTAAACAACTGGTGTCTATATATAAAATAAAATTGAGAATGGAAATGGGGAATATGTCAGAGAGACCTTGCCTCTGGAGACTTAATATACCTTTCCAAGATTATTAAAATTATATTTGTTGCTTCTGTGATATGATTAAATCTATAAATTGTTATTAAAAGGTAACACGAAGATGTACAATGATGTTAAGAAATGTTTCTTTGATTTAGTTGAAGTTTTAGGATGTTTTCCAGTAAACATATTATAATATATATATACAGAAATAAAACAAAGGATATACAAATCTAAAAATAATATGTGGTATAATTACCAATGAGACAATTTTACTCTCCACCAGAGACCAAATGACATAGAAGTTAACAGCCATAGGTCATCGTACGGTCTTCAACAATAAGCAAACCCATACCGCATAATCAGCTATAAAAGGCCCCGAAATGAAAAATGTAAAAGAATTCAAACGAGAAAACTAACGGCCTGATTTAGGTACAAAATAAAGAACGAAAAACAAATATGATATACAGCAACAAACGACAACCACTGAATTACAGGCTCTTGACTTGTGACAGGCACATACAGAATGTGGCGGGGTTAAACTAGTTTGAAATGTTCACTTTTGAGATAATACGCTCGAAGTGACGTGGGTTATTTTAAACACGAAGCGCTTTAAATCAGTTTGTTTGTTTTTACGTGGAACTTCGTTTATTTTTGTGTACTTTATATTACATAATTAAATCTATCTAAAATATAGTGTTTAATCATCCTTAAATGTCTGTCTCATTGGCGTTAACTTAACATTTTCTTTTTTATATACATGAAAGCCAAAAGTTTTAGTGTTGGTCAGAATGATAACTCATATCATTCAATATGCGAGTTCTTTAGCAATGTATACATGGTGTTTGAAATATGTAACATCTATCTTTTTTCCAGAGGCAAGGTCCACAGCATTGAAGTACGACTGTAAATATGCGGAGACATCAGCAGCATTAAATCACCATGTGGATGAACTATTAGTCGGTATTCTTAGCCAAATTAGATTGAAACAAAACCCGGAACTGGCACAGGAAATTCCGGATACACATACCAAGAAACATAAAGAAAGAAAAGGTTCATTTAAAGTTGCAAAAGGACTTTTGAACAAATTGTTTCGTAAAAGTAGCAAGAGAGATAAATCTTGTGAGAATTTGTATGAATTGTAATTGAACTCCATGCTCAAACTGTAACAATCAACTACATGTTTCAAGTTTTTTGGCGTAGAAATCACAAATTCACTTCGTTACGCTCTGTACCTTAATCCATGTTTTAATAATTAAAAAAGCCAACTTTTGTAACGAAATTACGCAGTCATTATATAGTTTGTTTCCGTATGCTGTTTTTGTTGAGTTTGCTTGGATATTATAATTATAATTCGTTTTGTTTTCCCTTGCTTAGAATGAGCACGAATGCTGTAAAAGTCCCAAAAGACAACTATATCATTTTTTCAAATATTGATTCAATGAAAAAAAAAAACACCCTGAGAGATTGCACAGGGAATTCACAGTTTGTAAGCAAATGTTATTAAAAACTTTTGTGGGTGTGTACATTGTGGTCGCCAATAGTGTTTTAGACATTAATATGATTTGAGTGTCACTGATGAATATTTTGTAGACGAAACCCGCGTCTGGTGTACAAAATTTTAATCCTTGTATATATTATGAGTTAATTTATATGTAATGGCAAATGAATATAATGACACAAATTTGCCTTATGAAGTACACACATATACTGTGTGAGCTATCAGTCCAAACATATACCTTTTTCTATTGTATGTAAACAAATTAAAATGTAATGTGTACATGTGCAAAGACTTTAATCAAATTTGTGCGACTTTGCTATATATTTCACACTGAAAATGTCTTGTCACTAATATGTCTAAAATTGTTCCCAATATCATAAACATGCTTTTGAGCGCTAGACTCTTAATCTTGAAGAGTTGTGTAAAGCTGTTACTAAATAATGAAGTATTGCAAAGAAAGACTTACAAAAGATAATAACTATACACATACTTCATAGATATTGGAGTAATGACGATACTTTTCCAACAAACGTAACTAAGACGACAATAACACTTGCAAGCAAAACTACTTATAATAAATCATCATAAACTGCTTGTATTTGACTTGTATTTGTTATGAAGGCATAATGGTTCAATATGCTAGTATTAAAAAAAAATATTTTATTTTGCTATTTGATATAGTAAATGTAGTACTGATGATTTAATGTAACAAATGAGAAGGTATAATGGCATTTTTCTGGCCCCTTGAATTCGAAAATAACAAAAGTACTATAAATCTACCAAAAAACGTTCATCAGTTGTTGATAGGACATTAACCTATATTTTGACCAAACTATATGCGTGAAATGTCCATTTTTTTTGTCAAAACACAAATTTCTTCATGTATATGATGTCATAGTGACATCATAAGAGACATTTCTGTACTAAAGATTCCAGATTACAGTAGCGTGTTTATTTATCAATAAAATAAACATAATTTGAAAGGCTTCAATAAGTTTACTATTTTTGCAATTCCAGGGGGCAAATACAGTCTCATATACCTCCTCCTTTCTCATAGCAATACAGTTCAGAGGTTATTTAGATGTGTTCTTTTTGCTTTTCCTTTGTAATACATTTTCCACTAATTTGTTAGTGCATTGTAATATATAGTTTTCTTGTGTAATATTTGTAAAATGGAATTAGGGTTATGGATGTAAAGACAATAATCATATACTAGGATGAAAATAAATTATGAAAATCCCTTTAACAACTGTTGTCTTATCTTTGTTTTCAATCAAAACAATAGGGATAGTTCAATGCACCGAAGGATATCGGATTGTATTTTGTAGGTCATTGGAGACACAAGTAGAGAGTAAAACTATAGAGACAAGAAGGTCTGCTTCCCTTATTGTCATATCTTTTTGGAATTTTCGGTTTTTAATTCTCTACAACTTCCTATTTGATTTGGCCTTCGAACTGTTTTGATTCGAGCGCCTTTGATAATTTTTGTTGAGACACAACGCGCTTCTGGCATACCAAATTATAAGCCTTGTATTTGTTATACCCCCCCCCCCACCCGGCTGCTGGACGAAGGGGGTATTAAGTATTGTTTTGACCGTACGTCCCTCCCTCCGTCCTTCAGTCCGTCCGCTTCATTTTCGTCTCCGCACTCTAAGGCTTAAGTTTGCCACATCCAAATGTTATTAAGCTCATACGCAATGCTAAGAACTAAAACTAGCAAACATAGTTCGAATTTGGGCACCGAGTCACTTAATGTTCTACAGTTATGCCCCTTTATAACCTTGAAAATTGCAAATGTTTTTCGTTTCCGTACTCTAACTTAACTTTGCCTTATCCAAATTTGATGAAACTCGCACACAATGCTAAGAACATACACTCGGAAAATTACAATGTATTTCTTTTTTCTTCAAACAGTTGCTTACGGACAAGTAAAACCTAAGGTCTATAACATAATCAAAATTTTCAGTTTTTCTATTGTCAACTTTTCATACCTCTGTAGTAAAATAATATCTGCATCAATGGACCTCTACGTATCTCTGTTCATACGATATTCATTTTGAAGATTTCAAAAGGATAGATATACTAATAACTCAAATAGATATAAGAAGATGTGGTATGAGTGCCAATGAGACAACTCTCCATCCAAGTCAAAATTTATAAAAGTAAACCATTATAGGTCAAAGAAAGGTCTTCAACACGGAGCCTTGGCTCACACCGAACAGCAAGCTATAAAGGGCCCCAAAAATTACTAGTGTCCATTCAAACGGGAAAACCAACGGTTTAATCTATATAAAAACGAAAAACGAGAAACACTTATGAACCACATCAAAATCTACTTAATCACGGGTATATATTAGGTAGAAAGACTGAAAGTAACCACTTACGTTCACCAGAATTGGTTGACCGTTACATGTTTACCAACTTCTCAACTCACATGTGACATTTCAACCTTGTCATAGATCCAACATGTCAACTTTGTTAACCTAAAGTTATTACCAATTTTTCTTGCTTTAACATTTGCTCCTTAATGTGACCTTTGAATTGTTTAACGGTTGAAAAATGCACTATAAATATACTTAATAACTTGTTGACGTACTTGATTTTTTTCTGTTGAAATAAATTGAAATAACTTGCACTTTCACTTCCTATTTTTTTCTACTTTATATCTTACACGAGATAGTTGAACAACCATGTCCCAAGTCAGGAGCCTGTAGTTCAGGGGTTGTCGTTGGTTCAAGTCTGTCATATTTATTTTTCGTAAACTGTTTTGTTATGAAAAATATGAAAACAACACGTAATAAATTTCATGCGTCCGGAGCGCTTTTCTAGGTTTACCTTCATCAGGAACTCTCAAAGCCGAATATTTGAAAGTCAAAGATGTATAAGAACCGATACAGTTGAAGAGCTATATAACCTAAAAAAGACCTAAAAAGTAGCCAAATCCATCTAAAGCCAACTTTGCCTTAGGGAGTTGAAACCTAGCTTCTTTGTTGAAGTCGTTTTTTTTGTTTTTTATAGTGATTATGATTATAAAACACAATGTTGACTGCTGTACCCCAATTTTAGACATTTTTACCTATTATGTCTGTTTGTTTTGCTCACTCAATTAAATTCTACGAGACTGTCATACCAGTGTGAGGGTTTAGCTAGCTATGAAACCATGTTTTATCCACCATTTTCTACATAAGGAAATGCCTGTACCAAGTCAGGAATATAACAGTTGTATGTTATATGTTTTGGAGTTTAGTGTGACGTCACTGAACTAGTACACAATTTAATTTAGGGACAAGCTGAGGACCACCTCCGGGTGCGGGATTTTCTCGCTGCGTTGAAGACCCGTTGGTGGCCTTCGGCTGTTGTCTGCTCTTTGGTCGGGTTGTTGTCTCTTTGACATATTCCCCATTTCCATTCTCAATTTTATAAATAAACCAAATGTAACACGTTTTTATTTTTTTCAATTTAAAAGACTATCAGTTCATCGTAATAATAAACACATCAAACGTTTTCATCTTATTTCATACTATGGGATTATAACGTATGATTTGATTTGCAGATGATGTTGTAAAATATTCTTACATATTATCAACGATGTTACATTGATCTTTGTGATTATAACACAAAAGAAAAGATGCATTATGAATTTATTTAAATGTTAACATCTGCAGCAGCTGGAGACTTAATATACCTTTCTTAGATTATTAAAATTATATTTGTTGCTTCTAAGATATGATTAAATCTATGTAGGTTCTCGGGATTGTTATTAAAAGGTAACACGAAGTTTTACACTGATTTCAAGCAATGTGTCTTTGATCTAGTTGAAGAAATAACTTCCTGTTTTAGGATGTTTTCCAGTAAACATATTATAAAAGTCATTTGCTTTTTCTTGATATTATATAAGTCGTTTTGATATTCCGATCGGGACTAAAGGTGTTTCTCATATCTCAAAGTTGCGACTTCCTTGTTATTTATAAATTGCAGTTTAAACTTCATCAAGACCGTACAGAACATCATTTGTTTTGATATATGTTTGTAGATGATATATTATCTTTAAACAATTCGATTTTCCGAATAAATCAATAAAACAAATTAATCCAAATATTTTCTTACTTAAAGTTTATAAAAAGAAAAAAATAATTTCCGTTTTTGGATCCTGATATTGGAGTTCATCACTGAATTCGTTCTACCAAAATTAATGACAAATGGGCAAATTGTTTCCTTTCTATTCCTACCTGTTTCTCCCTTGAATGTGATATTTAGTTAATTCTTGTGATAATATTTTGTTAAAAAATTATGAGATTGGAACATCGGTAATCAACTGGTGTCTATATATGTCAAGAACTAGACGATCTACACAAAGCAACTTGCGTCAAAATAATGCAGACAAACCACATGTTATATTAATTGGAACGTCAAATATTGAAAGAATTGATGTATCTAAATTGTCATCAAAGTTTACAATGGAGAAGCGAATTGCTTACACTTTACCTGATACCGAGAAAAGTTTGCGAGAAATTGAGCATGCACCTGATATAATTGCGTTTCACTCCTTAACAAATGAGCTACGTGAAAAAAGTGCAGAAATTTGTGTTAACAAAATGAAGGAAATTATATCTTTAACATGTGATTTATATCCATCTTCAAAAGTTATCTTATCTACACCAACACCTAGAGCTGACAACGAAAGCTTCAATATGAAAGGTCAGTTGATAAGTGCTTTATTGAAGCAGGAATACTTTGATACCGAAAAAGTTTATCTGTGTGATCACAGTAACCTAGCTAATAAAGGCAGAGCAATCCCTAGATTTCTTAGTGAGGATGATAAATATCACCTTTCAGATCAAGGTGTAAACGTGTTTGCAGCAAATATTCGGGATATAATTGATGAAGCACTAGATCTACCAAAACGTAGACCTTTTTATAACAGCAATGTTAACCTGAATAACGGATCAAGAGGCGGATATCGTGGACGTGGTGGATATGGTGGATATCGTGGGCGTGGTGGATATCGTGGTCGCGGTTATAACACTTATAACAATTATCAAAGTCGGGGTCGTGGATATGGGCAGCCTTAATATGCTGATACATTTGTATTTAGATTTTCTTAGTAAAGAAGATAAAGTTGCCAGTTATAATTAAGTTTTGTTTGATATATTGTAAACAATTGTAGCTAGATTTTGTTTTGCTTTCTGTTTTATCTAAACTTAAATTGTCATTTATATAGGACAATAAAAAGATAATTTCATTTTTGCCTTTCCTCAGTTAGAGGAGTTTGTTATTTTATAAGAGGGAAAAGAGTTTTATTATTTTACAAGGATTTCATATTCATATTACCTGCCCAAAAGCTGACTGTCAAAGTTAATAAAAGATTATTGTACAATTAACCAGTGGTGAGAGGGAATTTTAAAAGATTACTATTAAAAAAGCAATTATGACCAGTCAAAAGAGAAATAATTTTTTTCACAACATAACATTTTGTGTTTGGAACATAGGTGGGCTTATTTCAAAGCATCATGATAAAATAACAGATCCCCTTTTTCTTCAAGAGATAAGAAAATATGATGTTATACTATTAACTGAGACCCATGTAGGTTATAACACTACAATCAATATTGAGGGTTTTAACTATTACCCTATTTGTAGACCACAATCAGCTAACTCTAGATACTATGGGGGCTTAGGTATTTTGATCAAATATGAAGTTCGCAAGGGCATCAAGATTTTGATAAATACATGTAAAGATTATCAATGGTTACAGTTTGATAAACATTATTTTAATCTAAGTACAGATATATTCCTATGTTTGGCATATATTATACCAGCTACTTCATTTTATGTTGATCAATCAGAAGATGACACACTAGAAAACATAGAAAAAGATATCATAAATTTTAGCCATCAAGGTAGTATTATATTGTGTGGGGACTTAAATGCAAGGACAGGGTCAGAGCCAGATTTTATAATAAATGATGTTAATGATACACATATACCAATGTATGATAATTATAGTTGTGATATTATTCAAGAAAAGAGATTAAGTTATGATATGAAAGTAGATTCAAGAGGTAAACAACTTCTGGACTTGTGTATTGCGTCCAAATTACGTATTTTAAATGGAAGAATGTGGGGCGATTCTTATGGTAAATACACTTGTATAAAAGCAGTAGGTAGTAGTGTGGTTGACTATGTTATCATGTCGGAAGACTTGATTGAAGATACTTTATTTTTTCATGTTGCTGATTTTTTATCAAC